CAACCCCACCCCCACCCCCACCACCATCATCATCATCATCATCACTTTTGATCATTTTTATAAATAATTTTTTATTTTGTAACCGGAAGTTAGTTTAAAGCTTGATTCTAAAAAGAACATTCTAATTATAATTTTTTTTAATATTAAATTTACATCACGATTTCACTTCGCAGTTAATAATAATAATAATAATAATAATAATAATAATAATTTTTTTTATCTATTTGCCAAAAATAGTTTAAAAAGTAAATAAATGATAATACGTATTATTAACGTCATTGATAAAAAGTATTAATTTTTATTTGTGTCGACTATTTTTTAAGTTACCTATTAAAATAATGATAATAATTGTGATAGGATTTAATAATAATAATGATAATAATAACTAATTAATCAAAGGTTTATAATGTTATTAAATAATAAAAATCAAAATATTTAATTTGGGGGGGTCAATTTAATAAAATTTGTCTGAGTAATTATATGAAAATATAATAATGATGATGATGATTTTGTGAGGAGGTTAGATGATGAATAATTAATTGAAAGTTATCACACATACCCCCCCCCCCCGTGTACCTTAAATGTTGGTCCACTTTTACTTTAATTTCAGATGTCGGTTGCGAGTGAGCCGACCCCTGGGTCTGGATGCCGACTAAGAGGCGGCAGCGCTTCGTCAAATAATTCTACGGCAACACCTCCAAATCAGGTTAAAAGAGGAGTTGCTGCGGGGCCCATTCATCAAAGGCCCAGACCCTGTCGTCTTTGCTGGTATTGCTGTTGCAGTTGTTCATGGTACGTAAAAAAAAAAAAAACAATAACTTTAGGATAATAATAATTTTTTTTTTTAAATTTAAAAATTTAAATTAATTTTTTTCTGTTTTTGTCTTTCTTTTCACGACTGCATTACAATTAAGTGTAAAAAATAAATCTTGGTAAGATTTCCCGCCATTTTTTACTCTTATTTAAATGATTTAAATGATTTTTATTTTAATTTAAATGAAAAAAAAAAAAAAATATT